TGGACAGCTTTCTAATATGTTTGTATGAGAATGCTAAATCAGCACTTGACCTGACTTTAGCACAGAGATTTCGCGAGCCAATGCCAAGGTTTATAGATTCCTCTGCCCCGGAGGCTTAACACATGTCAACGCCCCAAACACGAAGAAAGTAAAGACGCTACGAACACGATCAGACATCAGATTTCCATTTGTTTCAACATGCATTTGATCTAGAATTATGATTTTCATACACTGGTTATTTTCGTTAATTCAGGATCACTAAAACAATTCTATTCCATTCATAATTTCTTTATTGTTTCGAAATTATTGTAAATATGTTCTCGATTGTACTAAAATATTCTAGGACGATCAGTGGCATCACAGATGAGTCAAAAACCGACAAAACAGTTCTCTGTAACTCGGATTTGACACAACTGACACAGCTGATGGCCTGTATATATCTCGGTGCATTCACCGTGACTTACAAGTTTCAAACTGTTATTGATACTGGTGTTGTTTTTTCATTTTCTTTTTAGGAAGAATTTATGTGTTTAGTACAGATTCTATATATTTTAAATTCGTGTCGTGTAGAACAGAAAAGATTCGATTCATGCTCGTAACTGCTGACTTATAATATTTCATACAACATTTTCACGAATGTTTATAATCCGTCTTCATGTAAAGGTTCATAATCCTAGCTCCGTTTCATTAGTTCTCGCTGTCAAATAAAGCGTAAATGCAAATTCTCGCATGGCTACCATGTTGTTTGAATTTTAAAAAATCGAAACACTATTATCGTACTTTATTTCAGAACGCTACATTAAGTGACAGTAGTTGGCGCCCAATTATATAAATTCGCGAGTCCGCCATTGTCGTTAATGATTGTAGGTAATTAAAAAGCTTGGATTTGGCCCACTAATGAGCAAAAATATCTGGGTATTCAAAGCAGCCGTTTTCCAACAGATCTCATTACTAAAATTCTTTATGCCAATTCCAAGGGACCTACACAAATCACGATGTTCCTCGTTTTGTGATGTCCCTGTTAGACAAAGTATTTTCATGAGAACTTCGTTTTCAAACACCTACAATGCATGTTATTCCCTCAAGTAAGAGACAGGTTGGGAAAAGACAATACTCTAGGATTGTAGCCTGTTATTTGGGTACCTAGATGGAGTTTCGGCCTGGATACTAGAATCCTGACTGAGGTTTTCAGTGTTTATTTTTTCATCACATTCGAATGGACCACGGCCGCACTTTTCGACATACGAACTGACTTACAATTTATAAACTTCCCAATAATAAAAACTTATCAATAAATAGCCTGCACTGCTGTGTCTCAATTATGTAAACTATGCAGTTGAAAGTGTTGTAAAATAACTTAATCCACTCGGCCTTCTCATTTCGTCCTGCAAAAGTAATTTTGGTTAAAAGGGGCCCCGGAACATTTTTTTTCGGCGAGTGATACCCCTGTAAGTTCAACTGATGGAAATGGACTGGCATGGTGTAACCATGATGCTCTGTGGCACACGGGGAAAGCTGTTTCGGGCAGAACAGAACTAAAGTGTATCCTGTCATGCTGCGACCACAGCTACTAATCCAAGAATTTAGTGATCCCGACAGCTACTTGTACATTTGTCTCCGCGTGTACCGATTCAGTTCACAGACTCCTTTATAGATTTGTGGTTTTAAAGAGAAAGGGGATAAATCACGTCTCACCAATGCAATTAACTTCCAGGTCTTGTTCTTTATTCCAGTAAAGCACTCTTTGCCTTTAGAATTAAGTGACACGGTCGGTTGCAGTGGTCACTATTTCTAAACTTGTAAGCCTATAGAAAACGTGAGGTTTTTCCAGGGAATATTAGATTTAGTCATTGAAAATAATTTTATGTACAGAAATACGGTGAGTGTGGGAACAGAATAGGAAGGGGAGATATGCCTTCGTGAAGACCGGAAATCTGGAAAGTCAGATGCTGAAGGTCTAAATCATAAAGACACTAAATGATCTATGGCTGTAGTTGAACGACAGACTGGAAGGCTGACTTAAAATCCAAGAAATAGCTGATAAACCACAAAGATTATTACGATAAATTGCTTGGACATTATTAATTGTTTATTGAGATTTCAGAAAAAAAGTGCTGAAAATGTCCATAGTGGTCTTTTGGGTTGTGATGCCGTGTGGACTTATAGACAGATACCGACGTTTCGGAGGAGTATACTGCCTCCATCACTGCTTCAGTACTGAAGATGGAGGCAGTGTATCGATGCACGCTCTATGTCAGAAAAATAAAGTTTCTTTTAAACAGAAAACAGCAGTAAAATTATCGACTCATTTAAATTTCGAATATTAGGCACAATTGTGTCCAAAACGTATACATCAGCGCTTTTCTCCCAACGGCGCATTATAGAAAAAATGGTAAATACAACAAATGTTCGAACACGATATAGGCCTAAGCAGCACCTTCCCATTAATAATCAAGTAAAATACACTCAAATAACTTCAAAATACAGCACAAGTTATTGTTTCACAGAACGTTTAAAAACACGCAATCGAGTATCAAACATATCGAAAGACGAAGGAAAATACTCTTAAGCGATCACAGTGACCCACACACAAAACTATTATGTAATTTACCCAAAGTTGGTTGCACTTGTTTACCAAACTATAACCTAAGACGCAAGAAACGCTTTTCAAAAGCCTATAGTATTGATTATGACTTACGTTCGACGTCTTCACTTTATATCCGTTTCAGTAAACTGATCATAAGTGTTAATACAGTCAATTTTGTTAAACTGTGACTATAAAATCGCAACAGAAACGCGAAGAAAACACTTTTGCACACAAAGCTTAAATACCCGCGCTCACTCAACACACCATTTTTCATTGGGGTCGAGTACCAACGCGACGAACCTAACGGCACAAAATTTAAAATCATTGACATGAGGTAGAGAGGGGCGTCGCTTTACCCAGCTATGACATTATTCGCTGGTCTCCCTTACCTATAACGGAAATCTGCGCCAGCATTTATCTACATATGACAAAATACACCCTTGAATCTAGTTTACGTTCTTTACAGCTCTCGGTAATCGACATTAGTGGTCATTTTACAACCGCAAAAGATGATCAGGAACTCTTTGGCCGAAAGGATATGTGATTTATCTCTCCTTCCGGAAGCACGACCCTTGATTACGTAATTGCGTTAAACGACAAATTACCATAGACTGCTGAATAACAAACTTTCCCTTTAAAATGTTGTCGGTCACTTGAAGCACTTTCGAACATTATGACGCGTTCCTGGTATGTGCCGTTGACCCTCATTTTGCAATGTCATGACGATAACTTCAAGAAAGTAAAAGTGGGTAGTAACAACGGAAATTGCAACTTGTCTACGAAATGTTATGCACATGACACCGATTTTAATTCTTTTATTAAACCCGTAATCCACTTATGTGTGAGTCCCAGCATTAACTAAACTAACCCCGTTAAGAAGAGGGCTTCATAATAATTTGACAGTCGCTCAGCTGATCAACCAATGCCTCGACACTCATGGAACCAGAACTTCATTACTGTGTTCAATGGACACTGTCCTGAGCCAGTTCAATCAAATTCATATCCTCATGCTTTATTTCTTTAAGGTTCATTCTTTATTTTTCTCCCATCTATGTCCGTCAGTTTTCCAAAATGACATTTCCCTTCGGGTTTCCTGAGTAAGTCTCCCCCTCGCATGTTACATGAGCCATCTACATCATCGTTGATGCTAATAATACTTGGTCAAATGCACAAATTATGTTACTCACTATGCAATTTTTTATCCTGTTACTACTTTTCTGTTAGGTCTACAAGGGCCAGTGCAAGGGTATTTGGCACCCTAGCCAAAAATTCAGCCTTGCAATCCCCTCCCCAATCAATTTCTGACCTAGGATTCGAATCTCAGGCCAGAGACTAGCTACTCTGAAGTGCTTTGTGGTTCTCTTCAGTCGTTCTAGGCCAAAAGGGCATATTTCTATCCACATATTCCACGTAAAATTCAAAAATGATAGACTTCGCAATATTAGTTGTAGGTTTCTTAAAATATCGCAACAGGAAATTTATATTCTCAAATGTAAGAGACAAAAAAATATAGGGATCAAATATGCTTAAATTGGTCAATGCTTTGCAGTGTTATATTTCAAAGGACACTTCCTTAATATACTATACATTATTCCATTTTGTTTAGAGACAATCAGCATTACAAAATATCTGTATTATCCTGGTCTTTCTGCCTTACTGTACCAAATGACACTTTTCCCAAGAGGGTCTTGTTCCAAGATTCTGGATTTATTTCTTCTTTATCATACCCTAATCATGTGTCTAGTCCCCAGATTTAATCATGTAAAATGTATGAGCAGAAGAAAATTCCATCTACAGCTGTTAAGATCTGCTGACATCCTGATGTAAACATTTTCACATAATTTTGTAAAATATCCTGTGTATTTTATCTAAACAAATTTGATTCAGTTAGTAATTAGTAAACTATGTAGATTACCCAGTTTAATTCTACTTAGCAAGTAAATATGTAAAAACAAAATTCACTACTTTACTGAAAATAGGACTGAGGATGACTGTCTTCTAGGTTATTGCATCATACAGTCTGGACAAATTCTGGTAAATCTCTAACAAACTACATGGCGCAACAACTCAGAAGACAACATATTCAGACTCATTACAATAAGAACATAAAATCAAACTTCATGAAAATAATTCAACTTCTGCTTCTGTTTTATGCTTCCAGGTCAATGCTGCTGTTACTTCTTACCACTACACTGAGCCACAATGCTCTAGGAAAGCCACAAGATGAGGAAGATGTTAAGATAATCACTAAGCCTTCACCAGGAGAAGAATATGTCCTGATCCACAGTGGCAAAACAGTTATTCCTGCAAAACATCCAAAACATGTGGAAAGATATGTTGTGAAAGGTAAATATATGAGTTAAAATTGAGGCTTACCGGACCTGAAAATAAAACTGAATATATTTCAGAATACAATGAATTTGTCAAACTATAACAAAATTTTACTACACAAGAGGAATGAGAGGACTTTCAGTTTCAATGGTAATTTATTTGCTTCAGTATGTGCTTGACTGTGTAATGCAACTTAATTATAACCAGAGCAGCTGTCAATACAGTGACTAAGCTATGGACTGGATATCATGGGTTCAATTTCTGGAAAGCGCACAGGATTTTTTTTTCTTTGCCACTATATCCACACCGTCTCTCAGGACTACCCAGCCTCATAACCAACAAATGTGTGTAGTATGAAGTATTTTGTTGGATGTTAAGTGAATGGGGTATAAAGATGACCACTCACCTACAACTAGTGTCAAAGTTAAGAATGCATGAAGCTATACTTCCAGCCACCATACATCTCGTAGTTCTCATACAGGACCAATGTTGCTGTGTATTACAGACTAAATAAAAAATATGAAGGATATTAGTTTAAAAAATACTGAGGAATAACTTTTAATTATGATTTACTCTCCTAAGTAGAAAACTGATAACACATTTATTCCTCACAGGAAGTAATGGTTTTTTAATATTTGCATGACACTTGGAGAAAATTTTGTCCCAATTAGCTAAAATGTCACATATCATCATTGGCATCATGCTTGAAAAGTAACTACTGCAACTGTATCAAAGTTTCATTGTCATTTATGTGTCCATTACATAAAATATGACACTGAGAACTTGTTAAAAAGAATTCACATTTATATGTTGCCTAAACAAAATGATAAAAAACAATGCTTGACATGACCAATTATTTCACACTATATCCCATGCATCTGTAACAGTGCTGTTAAATAATGTAATAGTCAATCAATCAATCAAGCATTCGGTGACAAATCATATTGTAGATGGATTACTACACCAATATAACAAAGTAGCATATGTCAATTTTGTTTCCTGGTCTAGAACAGTGGTATGACAGAAGGCAATAACATACTGCTATTTCTCAATTCCAGTTAACTGAAAATCCCAATATAAATTAATTTCCATCAGTTTTTAAGTAGCAGTAAATCTTTAATTGTACCAACTAATTCTATTCTTAAATATATTTTCAGACTTTTCAACATCACATAAGATACCCAGCCAAACAGCTTCTGAGAAGTCTTTATCACCACCTCTTACCAAGCCTGAAAATGTATTCTCAACTTCTCACAAAATCACTCGATATCATGCACCTTTAGTCAAACGTTCCACAGACAGTGTGCAAACAAATTCCGATGAGAGTGAAAACTCAAGTAGGAGTGCCTTGCTCAGAGTTCTGTCTCAGGCAATTCTTGCACCTGATCAGGTTTTGCCTCAAACTGAAATAAAGTTAGTTCCTGAAACTGAAGAGATCAGAACTGAATATTCAGTAGTAACAAGCAAATCTAGGAAGGTGGTTCCAACAGCAAAACATGTTCCAGTAGTCAAAATTGAATCTAAAGGTGATTCTGGAGTAATTGAAGAGAAACTGGAGGGGCCAGATATGCATAAAGTAATGCAAAAGAAACTAAATGTAGAAGAAGGAAAGGAAAGCAAAGACACATCTGCTGAATCTGAAAAGAAGTCTGATGACAGTCTAATTAGTAGTGTTGAAGTGAAACCTGTGTCTCAAGTTGGTGTCACAAGTCCAAAATTTGAAACCAAAGAAGGTGACATTTCAGTACCCATTCAGAAGATAGCAGCAAGTTCTGGCCAAGTCACAACTACAACAGTGCTTCCACTGACTAGCACATCTGCAATTCTAACAAAGTCAAATTTTGACATAATTCCAGTCAATCTTGTAACAGATAAAATGAAGAAAGAATATGAAAAAGATCTTGACTTTGTAGACTCACCACTTGGTGACAAACTTCTTGTGCCAGCAGGTTCATCAAGTAACCAGCAATCACGCGTAGAAGTAAAGAAAGGCCCGAATGGACAGGACTATGAGTATGAGTACGTTTACTATTATTATGATGACGAAGATAACGATACCATTGCCACAGCTGGTGAAAAGTCACATGTTACTGCAAGCCCACCCACAACTACTTCTACCACTACAGAGAGAACATCAACTTCTGGGAAACGATATTTACCAACAGTTTCTCCCAAAGACGCCACTGATGAGGCAAATCACGCAGCATCTGCAAGAGGACGCAGCAGAAACAGAAGTCAGCCTCAAGGAGCAACAGAGCAACAAAATCCTGAACATCTGGAAAGTAAACCAAGTAATGGAAGACAACGCTACACAACAATTGAGAGAAGCAAAGGGGAAGCCAGTACAGCAGTGGCTCCAGAATCATCAAATGAAGTACTACCACCTTCTCGTGGATCAAGGTATATAGCAAACAAAACAATTACATTAACTCCTCATTTTTCAAACATTCAAGTAACAAATTTAGTCATTAATACATTTCAAAAATGAATACACCTTTTTCAGTATAAGCGATGAACTAAGAGAAAAAGATAAGCCACATTTCAGCAATCAAATTCTATAGCTACATAATCATTGCCCATCAATGTTAAACAAGTAATTTAATTATTTCAATACAATTCTTAAGAAAATCATGGGTGACAAATGGGTACTTTTTGTAGCCTGTAATATATGGTATAATGCACAAAGTTACCGAAGTCCATTGCTTTTTTAATGAAAGGCAATCAGTCGTATATAGTTTAACACATAAAAGTATTTTGAACTCGTAAGCCTTAGTACTATGCACCACAGACCCATACAAAAAGAAAAGAATGATAGAATAAGGAGAAACACAGTAGTAAATAACAATAAAGATATGTAAGCCTTTCAATTTTCATCTTCATCACTAACAGTACAGCAAGTATTAGGACCACTGGCCTGTTCTGATCCATTCTATATTGTTTAATTCTTCCATGTTTTAGGGACAACCTCATTCTCTTCTTCCCTGTGGCTTGTAGTCTCGCAACTTCTAACTATATGGTCCGCAGTCATTCTGCATATGTATAACAAATATTTTTGTTAATATTCCTTTATTGTCTCAATTACATTAAATATATTAAGTTGCCTGACTCATCTCTCCATTTTTGTCGGCTACTTCAATTTGTTAATATTGTTGTACATTAAATGTCCAGTATGATTTTGATTTTACAACATAGATTTAATGACAATGACATGTTAGTGTTTATTTCATGCAATTAATTTAATATAACTGTTACAAGGTGTCCTGTTATTGAGGAAGACAGCCTTCTGGGATATTGCACTATGTAGTTTCGTAGAAGTTAACTGACATTTCAGAGATTCATACTGCCTCCATAATCAGACTGATAAGGCAGTATGCACTTCTGAAACATCAGTCAGCTTCTATAAGACCAAACAATGCAATACCACAGAAGGCTGTCTTCTTCATACTCACTGCAAGATGAACCTCAAATCTCACTTGTTCTGTTATCATTTATATGAATTCTAGTTGCCTAAATTTGAACAAAAAATTACATATAAAACTTGTTCAAACTACATTTTGAAGGTTCCGTGGCCGCCAGTTAAATCTACAAACAACTACTCAGCCTTCTGAAGAACTCACACCTGCCGCCGAGGAGCGCCTACCAGCCAACACTCGCTTCCCCCCACGTTCAAGATCTAATCACAACAGTGCAACAGTCACCACTCCATCCATAGAAGAACCACTGTCTAACAGAGGACGCTCATCACCTAGTAGTGGCGGATCAGGACCCACCAACGGTGTAAGGCGCCCCAGTCTAGAACTGGTGGATAGCAGCTCATTTAGAACACATTCCAGTGATGTGTCACGTGGCCAGGATCTAACATCACAACCACCTTCATTCCCTTCTACGCTTCCATCAGGTTAGTGAAATTATATGTAGAGCTCTGGTAACATACAAAACTTCTTGTATTAGTACAGATACCATTACAGCCTATACCAACTACTTTTTACCATAATGTTGTTCTATTACATGAACATACCCATTTTGGTCTTCATTATATCATCAAAGTTTTAGTGAAAAAGTCATTCTTTGGACCTCCTTACACCCTTTTTACCTTAATTTTGAAAATATTAATATTTTAAAGAATTTTTTAAAAAACATTCCAACCTGTAAAAATGTATTTGGTAATAACTTGTTAAAATTTACCAAAATCCTTTCTTTTAAAATTGCTACACTATTCCATCTTGCATCACTTTCATACATTGCTTTTCTTGAACATTGTCTTTCGCTGTTTAAACCTAGAATTTTCTGTCCTACATTTTATAATTTTCTGTTTCATTTAGAACTGACAACTACTATGAATACAGTAATTCCATTTTAATCACCATCACTTTTTCTGCACTTCTCATGTTTTCACATTATCATGTAGTCAGTATTCCTTCACAATACAAAATTACAGAACAGCACAACACTATTATTTACTCACATGACATAAGCTCACTGAGTGACTAAATTTATGTAAGAATTATTTTGATATATGAATGTCTACTCACTCCAATATGCTTGTTATATGTCCCACCCACCTCATCCCCACTGATCCTATAAAATCAATATTATTTCCTGAATAGTACAAATTATGTACATCTCTTAAGTTTCCTGTTACCTCATTCTCTCATTTCCAAATAATCACTCATCAAATCTGAGAATTTGATTTATTTTTCAGGCTAGCTTCTGAAATAATTTGGCATTCTTAAAAATTATAGGGCATCATAATTCTTCTCAATAACTTATAGTAAATGTGTATGCGTGTGTGTCTATAATACACTGCTCCCTAAACAATATTTCAGGACCATTTAGATTCCTTGGAGTAATTCCAAATGAGGAGAGTGTAGAGAAAGAAGTTAAGCATCATCCTAGCAGAGTCCGAGGAAGAGGAGAGCTGGGAACAGTTACATCAGCATCAGTAGAAAATGCAGACACAGAAATAACCAGCAGCAGACGTGGACCTCACATTCGCAGGTATAAAACACCAATGCTACTTCTAGTGTAGTCCCTCATAAAAGAGATCCATAATCACATTTGAATAACTTATTAACATTTTAAAAATATTTAAATGTTTTTGTAACTGAAAACTTTGTAGTTATTCAGTTGTATATTTCTCTAAGGTACATTTTAAAATTATCCCTTCATCAAAACCTGAATCTCTGATTCAGTATCTTTGTGTGAGGTTCTATGATATAATGTGTATTTCTCACTTCTCAAATTTGACAGAAATATTATACACAAAAGTTCTCCAATATCTGAACTCATGCAAAAAGCAAAACTTTTGAACACTTGGTTATATCTGAGATTCTCATGGTCGTGTGCATGATGATGGCTGTCTTCTAGATTGTAGTGATGTGTAGCCTGACAAAGTTTACCAACATTTCAGATGTCCTTGCTGCCTCATTAGGGCCTGATGGCATAGGCAACAAAGACCTCTGAAATGTTGGTAAACTTCTATCACAGTATACAACATTGCTACAATCCAGCAGACAGCCATCTTAGACAGTTCAATTTTTCATCACATCAACAGGCCAGCCCATACCTCCCCATCAGTAAAAGAACTTTTAACCAAGTTTCACTTCATGCAGAATACCAACTAACCCATTTTCCTGACACAGTTCATAATAATAACATTCCTATTTCTCATTATCAAGATTTTAAGAAATTTCAAATTTTGCACTATGTGAATTCATACATTTATATACAATGTAGCAACCAGATCTTTCACTACATCAGTTAACCAAACACAAATAAGTATTTTAATTTTTATACTTCACTTTGTTAGACTTTTCCATGAAAATGTTTTTTAAAAACTGCTTTAGATTTTCCTTCATTGTTGATTGCTAGTTTTATTCATGAAAATACTAAGTTTCTGTCTGGAATAATGAATCCATGTTTTAAATATATGTGGATGGCATCTGTGCAAACAGTTCTATTTATGCAGATAATCTTTTGCCAAATTCATAGTATTAGGATGTTAACATGCTTACAGACCATCTACACCACCACTTCCTCCAGAGTTAGAGGAATCTGATGGACTGCCTGATGAAACCACTGAAAGCATTCATACAGATGGAGTTATACAACCAGTAAGTCATGATGTAAGACCATCAGTCACTGAGCTTCCAGAAACAGATGCCACAGCAGATGAAAACACTGTCTCAACTACAGAAGAAGATACTGCATTAACAGCTGCTATGATGGATAAAGCAGCATTGGACTTGTATGCCATTTTTCAACAGACACAAGATGAAAATGCTAGTAACTATGTAGATGAGAATGCCACAGACAGTAGCCTTGAGGAAGATGAAGAAAAGGAGAACATCACAGAGGTGAATGATAACTTTGTTGATAATCCACTCCTAAAAATAGATGTAATTGCAAACCTTAATATAAGCTCCTCAGAGCTGAAAGTGTCATAAATTATATATATAAAATGAGGCCAAATAAAAAAAATATGTAGGATAATTTGGTGTGCTTGCTAGGAAATTTTATTACCTAAGTATTTTCATTTATTAGTGAATAAACCAAAAACATACACCTAAAACATCTTTGTTGGCTTAAACCACTTGAGTGTGATCAGTTTGTATGATTACTAAATATTTTCAAAATAACTATTTGTTAACAGAAATAAAATCAACTTACTCCAATTTCATACCCATAACATAAAGTCTAAGGAAATTAGCACTGAATACACTGAACGGTATATCTAATTCAATTGCAAGGTACTGCATTTGTGGGAATTATCTGAATGACTCCAAAAGTTGCCAAGTGCATATAGATGATGTAAATTCCAGCACTTTCATCTTTGATTTTCTTAAGAAGTCCTAATATTACATTTCAATTAAATGTGTAAATATATGTTTTATCTTTTCAAAGCCCAAAACAACTCATGCAATTAGTAGTCCATACTGGAAAATACAGACTAGATTAAAATTTACTAAGGCCCATAATATTTTCATATGTACAAATGGGCTGTGGTAATATGTGGATCTTTTAACTTCAAAGTATACCTGACTGCAATAAAAAAATGTTTGTGTGGCTCTTTAAGATATGTTGTCACTGGTAGAATGAGAAACATATAATTTTTTTTATTTCTCTAAATGCAACAAAATGTGCTATAAACAGTGAACAAAACTTATGATTATCCTACATTATCAGGGCATTAACACAACCGTTGCAGTCACCACAACTACAACCACTACTACAACCACAACCACAACAGAGGCACCCACAACTACTACAACTACCACAGAGACACCTACAACTCAAGCAACTGGAAGTAATCGCTATAAAACTAGAAGGATAGGCCATCGTGGACAGAATGGGCAGAACAAGTACCGTCCAAACAGTGCATCTACTTCTACAACAGAGCCTGCACCTATAGAAACCAGTACAAGAACAAAAGGTCGATTTGGTAGTAACAGGTGTGTCACTTAGCTGTAATCCATATTCTACAATGCTCATTCAGATATAATAAACTTGGACCATTCTGATTAGGTTAGAAACAGAACATATGAGAGGAGGGCCTGACAGATAATTCTCAGGTTACTCATGATGCTTGTTTCAACTGCAGAGGTCGTAAAATTTTGAATGGAATGGGAAAGTGAATGTGAATGATGAACAAAAGTATGTGTGATTATGGTTAGTTATGACAATGTGGCTGAACATGATGATGGAATGGCATGGTGGTATGGATGACAAAGGTTGGAAGATAGCAGTGTAGGTGATAAGGTTTGTCCTCCCCCCCCCCCCAAAAAAAAAAATATTGTCATATGACCTTGCTGGATCTTCCGAATGGAACTCTGAGAATTCCCCCCCCCCCCCCCCAAAAAAAAAAACAAAAAAACATTGTGAAATTCATGTCTAACTCTTATTTCACTATGATCACATACTCTTATTAATTATTTGGCCTAGTTGAATCAGTCTAGTGAAGAACAATATTTAACACAAATACACTTATCAAAGAATTATTTCTGGTTGTTATGTACATACATTAAACACTTAACAATAATTCAATATATGCAAGCACTAAACTTTGTGACATAAGTTTCTCTGAACATAAAATAAACTTAAATTCTTAATGTTGTTACTAACAGACATGAAAGGTGATATAATATGAATATACCACAAATGTGAAATGATTACACCACAGATGTAATGAGAGTCAAGTGTGACATGACATTTGTTCTTCCTGCATCAATGTCTGATGTTCTGTTATCATTAACTAAACTTTATTACATCTCTAATCTCATTACACAGGCCTCACTTATAAATATGTTACAACAGGACCCCAATTGGAAGTGGATCATTTGGACGACGTGGTCAACAAAAGACAACATCTAAACCAGTGGAGGAAGAAGCTGTGAAAGAAGAGAGCAAGGAAGTGACCTCAACAGCTCCTAAGAATAATGGCTTTCATAGGTCACGATTTGGAACAACAAGAAGCACCAGGGTAACCAGCACAACAGCCGCAACTCCTGAAGCAGTGTCCACTTCTTCAGGAACACATTCACCACGGCCTGTGTTTGCAGATAGGTATGTGGCAGTACTATCACAAAAAGTATGTGTAATATTATGAACAATCTGTCAGCAAGAAAACAGCTCTTTACATTCAGGCATTAATATTTAAGATCCCCTCATAGCCAAGTTTCAGAACTTACTGTTACTCAGATGTCAAGTGCTAGTTTGCATTGGTTAACCTTTGTCATACAGGAACAGGTGATTTATACCCCTGTACTAATGAGGTTAACCTTTATCTTTTAGGAATGTGTAGGTGATTCATACCCCCATACTACTGGGTTGCAAGGAGGATTTTAAGCCTGGAGTTCACCGTTTACAGACATAATAGTGTGAAGCACAGCCAGACTGTGCATGAGCATAACACAGTAAATCATAAACCTAGGAACTAAGCATACTAAAATGAAACACAAGCAAGCAAGAAATGTTAGAGACTTGAAGAAATCCAAAGTTTTATTTGATAGTAAAGTTAGCTGAAGCACTCTCTTTTTCTGTGAACTCTCTTGCTTAGACAGCATTTCTAGCCACATACATACATTATACATCATTATTACATTCCATGGACCCATAAGTTAGCCACATCACACAGTTACCATGACCAACACAGACATCCAATACAGATAATATTGGAGCATGTGAAAGCACCCTTATGCTTTGCACTGTTTTATGTAGATATAACACGAAGCGTCGCAGTGGACCCACCAGAGCAACATCAGCACCATTAAGTGACATAACCAAAGCAGACAATTCAAGCACAGAAGATAACAGCGAACCAGCAATATCTTCTGAACTGTCAGTCACCACTCCTAGGACAACAGGGAGGTCTGTATAACACCATTAATTTTACCCCAGTTTAATGTGTAGAGTATAGTATTAGATAAAAGGTGATTTATGCTTCTTCTACTTATTTGTTTTCATACAATACTGTGGCTTTCATACCTATGAACATTCCCTATTATTATACAATGTCCCTGTTAGTTTACCTGTTTCTTAAAAAAGACCCAGGAAAAGGAAGTTGAAGCTATCAAATTACAAAAAAAGTTCAACACCCTCAAACTCAGAAATTACAGTTGTTGATCATGAATCAGAGAAAATCTCTAACAAGATCCCTACTTCATCAACCTCATAAATTAAGTTCCACAAAGCTCCTGCATTGTCCACTGAAGCATATTAACCTTTATCGTACTAGCGTTCCCTGTCTGGGACGTAAGTTGTGTACTCAGCCCTACGAACATTCCCTGTGCATAACTCAAAACTTGCAACATTGTAAGTAGACTTGGCTACATCTTTTGGCCTCTTTTATGGGCTGCAAATATTTAATCACTTTCTCTAGGGTTCTGACAAGTTCAGCCTGAGTTGTCAACCCGGGAAATATAACCATAAACAGCAATAAACATTGTTATTGTCAAAGCCACTCACATTCCTCAGCATGATTTGTGAAAAGAATGAGTATCCACTGAAGTAGGGGAAACAAATTTTTCTGTGTGGTCATTAGTTCACAACTATGGCTTCTACCATGTCGAATGAGCTTCCAAAGAAGAAAGTAATGTTACTAAGGCCTATATAGGCAATTAAGATATTAACTGCATTTTTAAAAAACTCTATGTATTCTCTGTTCTATTCGAATAAATATGGCTTTTATTTCGTCAATTTATCATGTTTACTTTAGATAATATTAAATTCTTCCGTAGAGCATGCACAAAAATTTAAAAACCTGCAAAAAACTCTGTAGGGCTGCTACCACTTTGCCATTTAAATCACCGTCGTTTAAAGGTTAAGAGACCATAAGAACTATGTTGTGCAAGTACCACTACTGTAGTAAATAAATAATACAAAAAATATTATTTCACATACTGGATTATCACTCACAAGACACAACTGCTGCTGGAATACAATACTTCTTCCCATAAGTTTACATATTAAGTGTTCATGATGAACCTAAAATAGTCTCTACAATACATTGAACAAAAAATTGGTCCACAATTTAATTTCCAGATATCTTTGTCTACAGACTTGTTTATTACAAAACACAATATGCCAAATATTTTAGGAGCAGACTAAACATTGGTGGTGGTCCTCGACCTCTGCGCCCAGGACCAAAAATCAACATTGGTGGACGCCCAAGACCAGGTGCAGCCCCCATTTCTGTAACCACAACACAAGCTGCTCCCACTGAGCCTGAACAAGAAGGAAATGAGCAAGCAAGTCATCCAACAACAGCTGATGATACAAAACCTGAAGCACAGGAAGTTAGTAATACACACACACATCCAAAATTAGTTTAAAGTGATATTTTCAGCCCATGAAATTACAAAAAAAAAGTTTCAATAAAATACGTGTACTTTGATATTCTTCAGCTAGCAATGGCTATTTTTATGTGAACAGCAACTTCTTTCTTAAACCTTTATTATTGCAGAACACAAAGTCCAATAGTTTCATTTTTCACCGTTCATTTATATTGTTCTATAAGTGGGGACAAGGAATGCATACAACATTTCTGTGGAGAAATATCTTGGAAAATGTCCACCTGGAAGACAAAGAAGAATGTGGGACAATAACACATTACAATGACTCTAAGGGAGACAAATGTGAGGAAGGGAGGTGTATGGAATTAGCTTGGAATTTAGTCAAATAACAAGGCTTTGGTAGCAGCAGTGTTGAGACTCTGGGTTCTGCTATCATTATGTAAGCTAGTTATGAATTTAGTATTCTTGCATGCTTAATTATTTTCTCCCTTTCACAGCCACAAGAAACTGTAACAACACCAGTTCCAGATGCACTTACACGTTTACGGAGTCGTCCACGGTTACATGTGACTGGTGCTACGAAACCCACTAGTGCACCTGCAGCCAATAGCAATAATCGCCGTCACTTGGTGTCATCATTACTTCCAAAGAGACGTCCCCTCCAACCAGCTCCAGAAACGAAGGATTCTGAGGCAGCTGAACCTCATGATTCTGATGGTAACGGATTCTGTTTTAAACAGCAGTCAGTTAATTCACAACATATGCCAGTCCATCTGTGCAGTTAAAAGCATGTGAAGAAATGCAAGCTCTTCTCAGAATTTCTTATTTCCCCTACAGAATAATTCTAAGAGAAAAACAGAACAAATGTTAATATAACACATACTAAAGGTTCTGTAGACATGTATGTTTAAGTAATTTTACCCTCTAAGTGTTTAAAATAAAAATAGCATTCAAAAACTTTCATTCGAAGTGTCATAGCACATCAAAACTTAATATGTATATATTTTTCAGAGTTAACCATAGCATATTAATAACAAAATACTCATATGCTTTAATCTTCATTTGTCTTTCCATATAGCTTTATTTCACTTTAAGAAGGCATTGTAACATTGAAATTATTTAATGTTGTAGATACAGCTGAATCAGAATCACCTGCTAAACAGAGTGGTAGTGAAGAAACTCAAGAAACTGTTGAAGTAACAGCAACATCAGCAAATGAAGAAACTCATGATACCCCGCGTGAAAATCGTCTCTCTTCATTACTGTCAGGAAGAAGAAGAGCCAATGTAGCAAGACGGCCAGGAACTCTTCTTCCATCAACAGGGAAACAGTTGAGCCAAGATTCAGCATAACATCTGTTGCTAGAGTAAAACAGGGCACTTCATTCAGAACAGTACACGTGAACAGTGAGGTACTTTTCTTTTATGTTCAAAAGGAAGACAATAGGGAAAGTTAAATAAGAGTGTTTTTTTTTTCTTTTTGTATGGACAACAGTTTTCAGAGTAATAAACTCCTTACACATAATACAGCCCAAATAATTTGAAAATGGACTGGATTCTTCATTTGTGCACTGTCATATCCACATTCTACAAAAGGGCCAGGTAAATACCATATTTTACTTCACTTAGTGTTAAACACAAAATCTAAATTCTTTATTCCCACGTGCAGCATACTGTGTTTTAACCTCTCATGCATTTCACATTTCACTATAAAATAAAATTTTCTGTCCTGTCAAGTAACAGAAATGAGTAAATTGTAGCAAATACAAAATAACGATACATGTCTTATGACACTTTCCATTCTATACGAGTGATGGACAAAAAAGTCTCCAAACTTTTCTGTCTTCCCATAATCTTACCTGTTGGCTTGCTGGGCCTGCCATAGCTTGACTGGAGCCATATTAGCCACCATTTTCAGGGTTCCTGTTGGGCCTTCTCAGCTTTTTTGGTGGTACTGTGCATCACACCAACAAGTAGTATCCTATTTTATTTTACTCCCTCCTGCTGCATGGACACTTAGGCTCTCTTTCAAGAGAGACACATTAAGCATTATATCTGTGGTTGTGCACTTGTGGTGGAGTGCTGTTTAAACATAAAATCATGCATTTATTCTACAATGGCCAAAAAAATGTATATTGGAACCGCTATTAAAAACACTTCTGTCTTTGTTCCACAAATCAGACATTTTTGATACCTGAGAAGCAAAAGCAGCCATTTCTTTGAAACACTTCACAGAAGTCTTATGTTCTTAGTTAATCTGTCTCGAAAGAAACAAGCAAAACTTTGTTCACTGTCACTTACCATTCTCCAAACAATCCCAGAACAAAAATATTATTTAATTATAAATTACAGCTGAAAAGAAGCTAAAATTTAAGGATTCTCCATGAACAGGGCATTGCTGAGGTCAATTAGCATTCTTTGTTGTAAGTACAGCTGTGACTGATATGGGTATTAATAAGAATATGATTCTGGAACTATTAAATTCCTGATTCATCACTGGTAGTAATTCACAGCAATGTTAGCAATTTAACTTTGGTTAGGTTAGGCCCTATGTTGTAAAGATCAGACCTGGAAATAACTATATTATCCAGCTGTATTACAGAGGACCTAAATACTAGTATACTTAACATATTTATATGAAACCAGTTAATTATAAATACCTCCATAACATTGTTTAATACTGTGGTATTAAACTGGTTTACAGTGTGTTTCAAGAGGAAAAATGAATATATTAAAGGATATTATGCCTGAATTTTCTGTTCTGAAAATGAACACAGATGAACCTACCTACTAAAAGAAATTCTTATGACCATCTGTTACATACAGAATGAAAAACATACCATAATAAAGCAATATTAAAATCATTTAAACACACAGACACTCTAGTGACACCATGCTAGTTATGTGGTTACTACAAAAAAATGAGCAATAAGTTATTCTGTTAAACAATAATATGTATATTTTGTTATTCTGAAAATTGAGTAATAACTATGTAGTGTGGTAGTAGTGTAGTAACTTTGTGTGTGTTGTTCTTTCTAAAATTATGATCATTCAATGAAAACTCCATAGAATTCAACAGGCACCAGACTTTCACTGTAGCAGTCAAAACAGAAAGATGGACACAAATCCTTCTCCAACACTTTTAGAGCGCGGTTCTAATTTTTATACCAGTTGCAAATGCATCTGACATCAAGAGACATGTCATATAACTCAAATGTTTAATTTTCTTCCAACAATAAACAAATGAAGAAGGAATGAGTGAAACAGACATAAATATACATCCATGATCTTCAGTTTGAGAATCAACAAAAGGCATTTAATGAGGATTAATACAGTTATTAATTGGCAATTATTGGTATTATTTTAAGATAAGAATACAAATTTAAAACCTCTTCACATGGCATATGTCTACATCCGAAACTAAAATATAATTATTACCAGACACAATTATAAGGCACAAAGAGAAATGATGACAGATGAATAAGCTTACGGGCCAGTATGCACTAAAGAAGGAGTTCCTCAATAAGTTTCTTCCGCTAAACAAAATAAGAATTAATTGTGCCTGGTGTCACCCACAGACCCATATAAGTTGTTACTTAACCTGCTATTATTATTGGTCTGTAATCAATGTTGAATCCACATATTTTCTCTGAAAAATAGTTAACATAAAGATGGATTTAAAAGTCAAGTTCCTATTATATTTAAAATTGTTTCCTTTTTGTCAACTGAAAAAAGATAAGAATGATGAAATGTTCGAAGGAGGCCAGTTCCCACACCACTAATCCTGAAATTAACACTGTTTGTAATTAATAAGTTTAGATTGAAAATCTTTTTTTAAATAATGATCATTTTTCTAAACAGGAAAATAATAAAGACAAAATGTAAAACTTAGACAGGGTTCTTGCTGATCTCAAAGAATTATCCTTGCAATCACAAGGTTCAGGAAGTAGGTAGGTAGTGACAGTTCATATTATAGTTAATTTCAGTAATTGTAGTAGGATCTGAGGTTTTAGCAGACAGCAGCGAGTGAAAGAGGAGGCAGCAAGGACCTCTAAAATTCTGGTAAATGTCTACCAGACTACAAGGCACTACAACCCAGAAGGCTCTCAACAGCAGTAGGTTGTGCATTAGTCATAACTCCATTATGCTCTTTTAAGCTCCTGTACAATATTTCATTCCCACATATTTCAATGCAATATCCTAACATTTTAAAATAGAAATATATAAGACTACACTCCCTCTAGTATGAACAGTTTTAACTACATTACATTGACTGAGTGCTAAGAAAGAATGACATCTGGGCATGCTGTACTCTTCCAGAACTGTTCAACTCACAATGCACAACACATTTGCTTCTGCATGGTGGTACAACAACATAAGAGTTAAGAGTCTTCAGTACATACTTGATTACTCAACAGACCAATTTATTTTTTTACATTATGAAATTATAGCTCATAAACCACTCATTCTAAAAATCTAAATACTGGCATTTTTTTATACTTACATCCTGTACAGACACCAAATTTCATTGAAACTCATGTTATTGAAAGTTTCATGCAAAGGCTGATTTATTATGGAATATGGAATAACCCTAGAAGCCTTCTTCAAATTACTCACCTACTGGCTTCATACACATATTCTAATTCTCAGCCAATCCTTCCTGCATAGCGAAAACTGTTCTGAGATAATTCCTTTCAGTGCTGCCTTCACATTCTCTGATTACCTTCAAGTAATTGAGAATGAGATTCTTTCAAGATTTCTTCAGAAACATGAAAAAGGCACAAGGTATTAAATCGGGCAAGTATGGTGGATGTTCCACACTGCTTTACTGAAAGAATATATCTGCCAACTATCCATATTGATCTATTGCCTGAATGACACACTTCAGCATTCACCAAATAAATCCATGGATTAAAACCTTCATTCTTTTATCCTTCAGCAGGTTCTGGTGGGCTGTAGGACAAGGTTACCTTTAGCAATCAAAATTTACGATGATAAATTCAAGCGTGTCCAAAAGAGGGTTCGAAAGGTTGTGAGGTTGAACATAAAGTTGAACCTGGACCAAACAGAACTACTCTACTCAAATGAACAATTTCTTCCATTATAAAGACAATCTTTGAGAAATGTCTGCTATATAAACATCTGGTGTCCAGCGCTCTCAACAGCAGTAGGTTGTGCATTAGTCATAACTCCATTATGCTCTTTTAAGCTCCTGTACAATATTTCATTCCCACATATTTCAATGCAATATCCTAACATTTTAAAATAGAAATATATAAGACTACACTCCCTCTAGTATGAACAGTTTTAACTACATTACATTGACTGAGTGCTAAGAAAGAATGACATCTGGGCATGCTGTACTCTTCCAGAACTGTTCAACTCACAATGCACAACACATTTGCTTCTGCATGGTGGTACAACAACATAAGAGTTAAGAGTCTTCAGTACATACTTGATTACTCAACAGACCAATTTATTTTTTTACATTATGAAATTATAGCTCATAAACCACTCATTCTAAAAATCTAAATACTGGCATTTTTTTATACTTACATCCTGTACAGACACCAAATTTCATTGAAACTCATGTTATTGAAAGTTTCATGCAAAGGCTGATTTATTATGGAATATGGAATAACCCTAGAAGCCTTCTTCAAATTACTCACCTACTGGCTTCATACACATATTCTAATTCTCAGCCAATCCTTCCTGCATAGCGAAAACTGTTCTGAGATAATTCCTTTCAGTGCTGCCTTCACATTCTCTGATTACCTTCAAGTAATTGAGAATGAGATTCTTTCAAGATTTCTTCAGAAACATGAAAAAGGCACAAGGTATTAAATCGGGCAAGTATGGTGGATGTTCCACACTGCTTTACTGAAAGAATATATCTGCCAACTATCCATATTGATCTATTGCCTGAATGACACACTTCAGCATTCACCAAATAAATCCATGGATTAAAACCTTCATTCTTTTATCCTTCAGCAGGTTCTGGTGGGCTGTAGGACAAGGTTACCTTTAGCAATCAAAATTTACGATGATAAATTCAAGCGTGTCCAAAAGAGGGTTCGAAAGGTTGTGAGGTTGAACATAAAGTTGAACCTGGACCAAACAGAACTACTCTACTCAAATGAACAATTTCTTCCATTATAAAGACAATCTTTGAGAAATGTCTGCTATATAAACATCTGGTGTCCAGCATCCTTGGAGAGGTTGGCCTGTATGCTCCAATCAAAATGAGCACTCTGAAAAATTTTTCTTGCCATGTATTACAGAATATTTGTATTTAGGTCTGCAACTAGAATTTACTGACTATAATTCATAGCCATATTCAAACTTGATAACATTGGTTACGAATACTATTTATTTTTTATATGATCACTTTACAAACGATACACCACATGTGTAAAAATTTTGACATTGTTTCAACCTCCCATCATCCGCCTTCTCTCAGATAATGTTTTCTTAAGACAATTTCCCCAATATCTCCACAGCTAATCCTTAGGTTACAACGAAACCTTAAGTAATCGAATAATACCTGCGCACACAGTTACCACTGCCTGGACTTGCACAAGAAAACCAACAGTGTTATAACTCAAATTACAATGTTAAATTGTAGTATGCGGAAACGAAACAAAGATTAACGTTGGGAAGACCAAAATGGTATTACCTCCATTATTATCCATGTATTATCTATGCATATTTCTATTCGATCTGAGCTACCGAAGCAGGACAATATGTCGTATGGGAGTGGGTTGCAAGCATTGACTGAAAATATTTTCGATGTTTAAAGAAGCGTTAATGAGAAAACGTATCGCCATAGTTTATGAACCGATTACAGTTAGCTACACTACATTTCAAAGAAATTTATAGTGTTGTTGAACGTGTGTGGTGATGTCATTTTTAATGAAACGGAGAGCTGTCGTATTCTCTGCATTATTCTCGTTTATAGTAGGTTGTACTCTTACGCTTAATTTATTAAGTTTAGACAATTGCGTAGAGAAAATGAGTCTCAATAAATGGTACGGTAATGATACTTCATTAGAAAAAGACACACATAATCACAAAATTCTTATTATCCTAATTCTGTCCTCTCCTCCTAGTGTACATAGAAGAAACGTCATTCGTGACACATGGCTCTCATTATGTAAGAATAATTCCTATGTACAGTACTATTTTGTTGTAGGCAGTGCTGGTTTTAAAGAAGCGCATTCATTGATTGAGGAGGAGCAGTCAGTTCATCATGATCTGGTACTTTTGCCAAACGTTTATGACAACTATAAAAGTTTGACAAAGAAAGTGCTTGAAGCATTTGTATGGCTTGATAAGACAATTAAACATTTTCAGTATCTGTTGAAATGCGATGATGATTCATTTGTTCAAGTTGATAAGGTTGTATCAGAATTGCAAACAATAAAATTGACAAAGGGCAATTCCCTTTACTGGGGATTCTTTAATGGACGAGCACAAGTGAAAGTGAATGGAAAGTGGAAAGAATCTGATTGGATTTTGTGTGATTACTATTTACCATATGCTTTGGGAGGTGGATATGTTCTGTCTCAGAAATTGGTACACTTTATAGCTGTCAATGCAGAATTCCTAAGGTAAACTGCATAATCTGAGCTTGGAATTCTTCTTGTTTTGAAATGTTTGTATACAAATGTGTGAATCTGTGCTTACAGGTTATATAACAGTGAAGATGTATCAGTTGGGGTATGGTTGTCAGCAGTAGTAAATGTCACCAGGCAACATGATCCACGCTTCAACACTGAATTTATATCACGTGGTTGTTCGAACACCTATCTTGTGACACACAAACAAGATGAAGTGGCTATGAGGAAGATGTTTTTGACATTAAAAAGATCTGGAAGGTTGTGTGATGCAGAATACAGATCGAGGAACTCATATATTTACAATTGGCATGTTCCTCCATCAAAATGTTGCATTAGGAATGACTCAAGTATTCCATAAGTATAACATTCATTGAGTGTACACTGATTTTTTATTGTAGCCTGCTGTACATCTGTGTGATATTTAATTTTTTATGTAATTTTATGTAGTTAAATTTGTTAAAATGTATTGAAGCTTATTTTTTCAAGCACTTCTTTTCTATGATGTGTCAGTTTTTCCCATAGTCACTTTAACTTTAAATTGTGCTAGACCCTACTGTTTGCAAAGGTTTGATAAATCCTTTGCTGTTGGTTACAAATAGCAAACAGAAAACATTTATGCAAGTTCCCCCCTGCCCCCCAAGCAACTGGCAGAAGTAATCATTTTTACAAGGACCTGATTCAGCACCTTCATAATGGTAAGGTATTTATTTTACCAAATGGTTCCCATAAAAATACCTTATGTTAAGATGGCTGCGAAAATATTAGTTACTTCACATCACAATCTATTGCCATTTTAAGGGGTTTCCCCATCATTCTGTAAGCATTCTTTATCTTCCCTCAATAGCCAGCCTACCATAGCTTCCTAGATTTTGGTATCACAATACCATGCCATTAGTCATTTCACTATCACTGTTAAGACAGGCTGTAGTCCACTGTTCACATATAATACCATGCAATAATGGAGGACAATTATACAGCATCATTATTTTTGTTTCCAGGCAGTGATGGTGTCTTGGGGTACACAATACATTATTTGAATGTAATTCTTGGTTCTAACTAATTTTCCATCAACAGTGACCTGTGGGTATGAAGTATAATGCAGTGTAAGGCATCACAAATTTAAATTTCCTTATCACTAATAAAATATTTACTTTAAATATCAGCTTGCATTAGTTTTGGGACATCCCATATTTAGCAGTATTGTAGTGAAAAAAGCCCCATGTACTGCTGTTGCAGGAAGTGTGTTGATTCCTGGAGCTCCTGATACTGTAAATTGGCACAGGGGTAATTGTCACTGTCTATGCTGCCACCATCATCAGTATTTGAATTATCAGACCTCTACTAGACCAGACTGTGGTTTTTTGATGGGTGTTGTCACACATATCCTTTATTCAGAAGGGGTCAGTGACACACCCTTCAAATGTATATATTTTGCTAAACACCACCATTATCACTTCCCTAAAAAAACAACCCATTTAACTGTTAAGAACTACATACATGCGTGTTTGATACATACATTAAATTGAAATTGTTTTTAGCACAAATATTTTCCTCTGATCTGTACCATTAGTTCCAGAATTCATTTGCAGTATTTTTGTTGCTCAATAAATCAACTCAATAAATGGGAGTTTGTCTTTTATTTTAAACCTTTTTAACTCTTTACGTGGAACTTCGCATAATTGGGGCAGCTGCTCAATTGGGCCAAAGTATTCTAGTCCTGCTATGTCCCAATTAACCAGAATCCACTGTACTGAAGTTTCAATACCATGTTCATACGTCATCTCAATCATTTGGTGCACCATGACAGGAAAATAGTACATTTATTATAGTCAGCTTATATTTATAAGGTCTCATACATACATTCAGTCATGCACAAACACACTGAACAAACATCAGAAGCATAACTCCTTAAAAGCTTTGGATAAGTCTCAACCTTAGTTTGTTACATGTCACCAGTACAATGAAAACTTGGTATAAGCCTAATGCAAATCTTGAAAATTAAGTTTAGTTTCGTTTTTAATAATAATTACTGTATCCAGTTACTTATATACAGAAAATACAGTACATGATTGGTTTCAACTGTCTTAATACCTCACTTAGCTTTATTATTTGTACTCCTAGCAATGTCACTCAAATGCAGCCATTTCACAGATGAAATGAAATATGTATTTTCCAGGACTATTTCTTGATGTAAATACAGTATTCATTTGTTGTTAAAATTGGCACATTTTCTTGTGTGAAAGCTGGTGGTATACCCATGCAGTGTCATGGAACTAAATGAAAATAAAAAAAACTGTCATAGGAATTGTTCCAAACAGTGCTTTAGATTGTTATACTACTAATACTTAAGCAATTTTATAGGTTACTCAACATCAAATGGTAATTTAAAACTTTGGTCAGAATAACTGGTGCCCAGACCAAGAACTGAATTCCCAAACATGTAGCATGAGTCTTAATTGTTTACCCATGACATTCAGGAAGAATGATTTAGAAACCCAATATTTTGATGCAACAAATAAATTATCTTTCTATAAAAGAATGAGCAACCCAGTGTCTGTGTCCAGGGTTTTAATTGCCTGGCAGTGAATGTGATGAATTAGAACAGTAGTTCAGATTTTTATGTACTTACAATAATTTTTCTTCCCCTTTTTGTAGCACATTATTCCTTCAGTTGTACAAAATACAAATTCTCAATATTATTTATCCCAAAGTCCAAGTTCTCTCATGCGTGTCTGGAAGTATTTCTCAAGAGCATTCGCACATCGATAATATTCAGTATCAGGACTATTGTAGAGACGACAGTTGGAGAAAATTCGAGTCATATCTGCAATAAAGAGTCTTCGGGTTGTGTAGTAACGAGCCTTGATGCGGTCACCCATTGTTTTCAGATCTGTTAATAAAATCATATTATAATTTTACAAATCATACACTCATGAACTACATACATACATACATATGAATATAGTTCTAACTAGCACCCTTTCACGGGACTTACCCATAGGATACTTGATGTGATCATAATAATCTGGAACTTCATTCTTGTCAACTGGTTTAAGAAATGGCCAAGCAGCAGTATGATTTTTTATCTAAGACAGAAGATTTAATTATCTGATTGGTCAAACAAGTGTAAATTAAAAAACACACAGGCCCACAACCCTTTGTAAGACTATTATTTATTAACAAATTACAATTTAAACACACACACACACACACACACATATATATATATATATAAAGATACAGAATAGTAACACAGAAAAGAATGATGGATCACCAAGCAGCCCTGGGAACATGTGTCATTTCTTTGCCCCACTTCCAGGAGAAGACCCACCTAATTTAGGAGAGAGGGAGAGAGAGATAGAAAAGGAAGAGATGTTTAGCGTCTTACCACTGTGCAGAGACTGACTCACACCAGTCCCTATATAACATAGCAAAACTGGAGAAGACCAGGGCGAACTCTGACGGGGAAAAAAAGGTAAGGTTTAGAACAGGGTGATAAAGAGGAAAGGTAGGAAGGTACAAGATGCAACTACAAACCTTCTGGTGTGTGTGACTGATAAAAGTACCACAAATGAATATCATCCACAATGACTATACCGGACCTGTGTTCAAAATCTAGTCACCCTATTTCAATGTCATACCAAATTTTATGAAACTTGCAAACTTATATGTAAAAATACTTCAACAGAATTCTTGAAAGGAGGAGACATTTACTCAAAATGTGTAGGGATATTTATATTCAATTCTTGTGCATAATTTCATATCCCTAACATCATCAGTTCATTAATTACTGGTATGTAATCAAGTCACAAATCTATGCTGAACACTGGTACCAATGGATGAAGGAACAGACTTTAATGTGAACTTCTCTATATAGTGCAATTCAGGATCAAATCACTGTTCATATTAAGTAAATTCCTTATGTCCTTTCAGCTTATGATGAGAAACATTGATATACCCAAAGTATTAAAATATAATGAAACTAAACCAATGAACAAAATTATACTTTAGATTTGAGGTTCTCACAGTGGTAAAGATGTTGGGACTTCTGGGTTGTAACACTGTGTAGACTTGTAGGTAAATATCAATATTTCAGCCTTGAAGATAGAGATGGTATGGCTCCTCAAAATGCTGGTACCTACTTACAAGGCCACACAGCATTACAGCCCAGAATACCAACATCAACAAAATAATATTTTATTTTATTTTCTTAAAACAAAAATACTAATTGAAAGTTGCAGGATTCAAATCTCACCGTTGTAAGAACATTTTTAAGTGTTGTAAGTAGTGTATCTGGATCATTGCATTCCTCAGTGACTCGAGCAACCCTTGTTGCTCTCGCAGCTGGCCTCCACCCTGTCTCTCTAATGCCAGGAATACTTTCTACAGGAATTCCCCGGACACCTTCTCGGAAACATGTGAGACCAGGATGAACTTTTTGCACCTCCTGCTGCCGCATTTCGATCAGTTTCTTGACAACCTAGGAGAAAAACCGTGAACCTTGTAAATTAGTTAACAACACTTCATCTCATTATTCATTATGGATCAGAACCTTTAAGAAGCAGACATTCATTTAGCTACTCAAGAAATTAACTGCCTTTTAATGGGAACTGAAAGTTCATTACTGTGTTCACAAGAGCCTGCCACCAGTCCCTCTCCTAAACAAGATGATGCTTAGGTCATTCCTTATCCTTTCATGAGAAAATTCTCCCACTACATGTCCCCCACACCCTACATTGTTCTTTGGACTTTATTCTCCTAGAAACATTTAACATGAATCAGTATTAAAATATATTTATACTTGGTTTGAGACCTGCCAAAGTACAGATGACACCGACATGCTAGTAAACACGTAGTGTATAAAAATTTATAAATTAGTCATATTTTGGCTTATCACAATTTAAACCTCAGCCAGCATTTTATATGCAAAACAATAACATATAGCTTATTGATGTGACTTTGAAACTGTGCACTTTCATATTGCTGTGGGTTCTGAAAGTGGGCCATGCCCCATCTTTCTATGCCAATCCACTATAAATGTTCATAATTATTAAAATTAATTAACTGCTTCAACTTTAACTTCTGTCAAACCAAGAATTACATCACTAAGGCCTATTCTGAGACTTCTTTAACTCTTTATTCAGAATTACTGTCACCCAAAACTTCACCTACACAGCCTTTGGGATAACTTCTGATTTGTTCATTGCAATACAGTCCCCTTTTGGAATTGTTTAAAGGTTACAAGAAAGTAGTACTGGCAGCTACAGATTAATATTCTAAAGTGTGTTGCTATGTACTTCCCCC